ATCAGAGGGAAATATAAGTTAAGGGTTTTGAAGAAAATGTTCAGCCTCAGGAAAGCAAAAAGCTGCTTGCCCAGGAAGATGCTAAATGGTAGGAAAGAGTGGAAGATCTAAAAGAACAGAAAGAAACGCTTGAAAACTTCAATTTTAACTTTAATATTACCTGTAAAAAAGTCAAAAGAGAAAAACAAGAAATATTTTTAATATATGAAGAAATTCAAATGCACTAATTACTTATAGTTTAAATTAAAAGTATCCAACCAGAGCAGTGTGAAAACTCACAAGTTTAAAGAGAGGTTCAAAGACTTCAGCGAAACTCCACACACTTCCTGAACTATCTCTAGAACGTGAAACGCAACTTCACAGAAAACCAGTGAAGGAACTTACCGCTTACAAACAGAGGAGGAACTTCCCAAAGTGTGTGAAAACATCAGCTTCATATATCAAAACTTTGACTCGTATAGCAAGATCGTCAAATACTGGGAGGAAAAAAATTGGAAAGCACCGTTTCCTTCACAGGAGGGTCAGTTCTCATGAAAAAAATAGCTCAAGAAAATCGGTTGTAAGTTCCATTGACCAAGAAAAAGCTCAAGAATCTAAAGAAAGAAAATCACAACAGACAAAAACTGTCTGAATTAGAACTCCAAATTCACCTTTTTCCAGCAGGCCCCATAGCACCCGCTCTTCCACATGAGGCCCAGGGCAGCAGCCCAATGAGGTCCCCAAGGGAGCCCACGGGGTGGGCTGTGAGGGCCCTGGATGGAGGGTGACCTTAGATTTGATTCATGTTTACAACAGGCACCCATCCCCCCCAAAAAAAGTTTCACAGGCACAGGGGGATATTGGATGTGTTTTATCGGATGTGTTTTCTCTGTGTAAATTCATTTTGAGTGATGCCCTTTTAGTTTAGTTTATTACTTAATCGATGCTCCATTTCCTCTCATTGAAGTTTTACATAATTATTTTAATATAGTCTTTCCAGAATACAAACGGCTTTAATATATTCTTAACAATATATCATTCCCAATTCATTAGACCCTCTAAGAATGAGATCCTATAAGTACGTATCATATTTTAATTAATTGATTCACTATTATTTAAAACCTAATTGAAGTTTGGTGTAACCTGGTAGAGGTGATTAAAACATGAAAAAACATTTTTATATGTGCTGAGGTGTGACAATAAATCTACACAACTGAACTCATGTTGACTGGTTTCAAAACAAAACAAATAAATTAACAAGTATCTAACCACTTCTAACTTATTGGTGTTTTTATCTGGTTAGCCCTAAATTCATAAGTTAATTTTAGAGAGTTGACATTTGGCAAACACTTGCTTTTTTTTTTTTTTTAAAGCTTTGTTATGTTGTTTATAATACTCATATTCCATTTAAGAACAGGTGTCTTAATTGTCATTATTTAGAAGCAGAATTTCAGAGGACACATTTTTCTATATGTTGTGATTACAATATCAGCAATAACCACAACAAAAAAAACACTGCATTGCCTTTTTCAAAGGTCAAAATCACATTAACGTTTTATGTTTTGAATAAAATGGCTTGTTGTAGGATAGAGAGTACACATTTATATTTAAAGATACAGGCCTTCCATCATGATCCTGGTAAATCAAGGTTTTGTATTTCTTTTCTTCACTCATTTAAAATATAATGAAACATCTTGCTGCTTTTACAGAACACATTAATGTTTAAGGAATTCTTTGTAAATAGGTTTAGTATAATTAATATATACATATTATATATAATGCATTTTGCATATATAATTTCATACTATGCAATAATAAGCAAAACAATTAGAAAACAAGATAGTAAGAACAAGACTAAATAATTTTTCTGCAATTATTTCAAGAGATATTTAATTTTTCACTTTCCATTTTATTAGTTCAATCAAACATATATAACCCCATAGTTGCTCATTTATAAGCTATTATATTAATCAGGATTCTATTAGTTGCAAAAGACAGAAACTCAACTAAAATTAGCTGGGTCAATACGTAGACTATTGGCTTATTAATCAAACTATAGGCCTTGGGGCAACCAAAACCAAGACATTGAGATCCACTGCATTCTCATTCATGCTCGCTCCCTCTCTCTCTCTCTCTCTCTCTCTCTCTCTCTCTCTCTCTCTGCTCCCTTCATTTCTATTTGCTTCTTTTGCCCTGCTTGTTTCATTCTCTCAAATAAACTTTCTTAATAAAACTAGAATCATTGCCTCCAGCAGATGCCAGGCTCTGTCTCTTCTCTTATATTCACACCTCAAGATAAAAAGAGCCATTTCCCATGACTCTAACTTAAAAAATTCAGAAGTCCTTCGATTATTTTGCTTGTTAGCATGCCCGCCCCTGCAGCATACATTTATATGATTTCCATATTGCTAGATTAGGAAAATTTCCCTTGTGCCTTCTGTTCTTCAGAGGTTATTTATCATTATCATGGATAGTTCAGTCTATGGTCCTTTCATATAAATTCATGTTTTTATTTATGCATGTATTGAAAACTTAAAAATCATACTGCTAGCACATAGGTCAAAAAACTTGTCAAAATAACAATTATCTTGTCATTCATGACCTCCTTTTATTCTAAGGCTATTCTTACTCCCTTGAGATTTTATTCTCTTTAATAGACCAGCCTATACCAATATATTAACCCTCAGAGGTGTTGTCGTGATATAACAGAAACTTCTGGAGACTTAAAGGATGAACTCCATTGCTGAGAATTTCAAATTCCATCAGTTTTGCACCGGATGCTTCCTTGTAATATCAACAACTCAAATTGTATTCTGGATTCTAAAAAAGAGAGAGACAATCATAAAGCAGAATAATGAGAATAAGAAAAATTTTGTGTGCTATTTTTAAACAATTATCAATTTGCTATTTTCCCATGAATAAATTCAACAATATTAACTAGGCACCTGTTAAGAAATTTTCTTTCTACTAGAGATGTAAGTAAAAAGAGGACTAAAATGCAGTCTTGCTCTCAGAAAAGTTCTAGAAGAAACCACAAAACAATCATTACAATGGTGCTGTGAGTTCCATATTAGTAGTATGCACATGGAACAGTAGAGGCACAAGCTAGTAGAGGCCAAAATCTTCCAATGAGGGCAGAATGAGTAACAACATGAAAGCCTTTAGAAAAGGGAAAAATATATATATTAAAAATGAGTTTGAGGGCCGGCCGAGTGGCGCAATGGTTAAGAACTCGCTTGGGATGCCAGAGGGCCCCGGTTCGGATCCCACATATGAGGGCCAGTGACAC